TCTTTCGAGACAGCAACGTCATGGCGTTCGGGCCTACTGCTGTGACGAACTTTTTTTTTTTTTTTTACCGCCATGCTTGTGAGGAGTAAAATGTGCACGCGTGCTTTGCATGTGACGCGTGGGGGGTGTATAGTCGCTGTGCTGTATATCTATGAGCACCTGGCTCCTAATCAGAAGTGCCCCTTGTGGTATTCTCTGCTGTCTGCAGTACTGAAAGCACTGTTTTACGTTAAAAAGAAATACATATATTTGTGGGTATATTTTATAAATATGTATATACATAATAGCAAAGAAAGAAGCTGCATGGTTCCAGTTCACAGGAACTTTGTGGGGAACCATATTGTAGTCTTTTGCTGCAGGAATGTTAGGTGGTCTGAGATAGCTGCATCTGTTGTCCAGGGCTGGTTACCTCTACCTATCTAAAGGTAACTCCTGGAGGTGGGTACATGCAAACAATGGCTGACAGCTGCGGCACAAGTCAGCCCTAAGGAATTTGCTGCCTTAGCCCTCATTCACACGAGAAAAGGCCGGCATGTGCAGCTCCCGGGGAGGACAGGTGCTGTGTGCGACCGTTTCTACTCTACAGTCGCACGTCTTCTGTCGAACAAGCAGGCTTGAAAACCCGCCGAGAATCGTACGATTTGGTTACGTGCGGTTAGTTGCCTGCTTGTTCCACAACTGCCGAACGGGCCGGTGTGCGCACACTGCCCGTTTGCAGTCATCGGAAGCCCGCCCCTCAATGCGGTCATCGGAAGACCGCCCCTCAGCGGGGCGGGCTTTCCATGATCGCAAGTACGATCTACCCGTCCAAGATGGGCAGATCGTACGGGCTTTCAATGAGCTTACGACCATTGCAGGTGTATGGGCACCTTTACAGACTAGCCTGCAACAAAAACAGAAATTTACACTTTCTAAGGATATGTGTTAAAAACAGAGGTTGAAAAATATGTGGAAGCTACACTGTCTTGTCACTGTGTAGTGTGGTCCTAACTCTAATCTATGAAAGTCTCCATGATGGAGCATATATAGCAGGGACGTGTGGTCAGGGGTGGCCAGAGCCTCACCTAGAATTATGGAGGAAAAAGCTGTCAGCTTTCCATTCAGATCGGCATCTAACAGGTTACAGAGCAGGGAAGTCCCACCCCTGCGTAACCTGTCATGGATGAAGCCCTGCCTGTTAATTGCAGGCAGCGCTGCATCCGGCTTTTGACAAGTAGTTATTGAGGGACAGGGAGGCTCCTTCCTCACACTAGCTTGGGGGCGGGGCGTCACCCAACAGGGGCGGGGCTTCAACTGGCGGGGTGTGAGGATTCTGCCGGTGGGGGCGGGGCTTCAGCCGGCGGGGCAGGGGAATGCCTCACCCGGAATATGAGGTACCGCACGTCACTGATAAATAGCAGTAGATACATTGACTGCAGGTATGCCTAGAAGTGCTCCACTCCCCCTAGGGACACACTGGAGGCCCAGCACAATAAAATATGAGCTGAAGCCCCCAGTGCGTCCCCACACTAAATCAAGCCATGCCTTTAAAGCAAGTCCTTCTATGTGTACCTCGCTTTAAAGTGCGCCCCTATACCTATAACGAGGAGTGGGGCACCTCCAGGCATACCGGCAGTACATTTTATGTGTTTTGTACTGTGTAGGGCCCTTCCATGTGTACCTTGCTAGGCTAGTTATAAATTGATTTGTGCAGTTGCCATTTTTGTTTAGCTTGGCTTGATTTCTCTTTATTCCCAATGGCTGAATGGAACGAAGGAAATGTGAGAATGTACAGCTGGGGAGGAAGTCAGTTAAAGAGACCCTGTCACCATCTTAAAAAGTTGCAGGTACAGTCACACAAAGGTTATTAAAAGGTTGACTTGCAGTGTTTTTCTATTCAATAAAATGGACAATTGTATCATACTTACCATCATTTTCCTTTCCTAGTGCCTACATGGCAGCATACCGTTGATAGAGCTCCATCCTTATATCCACCTACAGGACCAGTGTAAATCCATAAATTAAAGCACATAATCACCGTCCACATTCTTGTTACTATACTCAGACTAGACAAGAGAGGGAAACTACAGTATGTTGCCATAGATAGGCACCAATAAAATGATAGTAAATATGATACCTATGATAAATAACAAGCTAACAGGGTGGGGCCAATGCAGAATTATTTTATTTGAAACAGAAGCTTCAGTAGTCTTTTTCCCAAAGTCATCTCTCGTTAGTATACTCAGATCTATTCTATAGTGCTTCAGGAAGGTATGGCACAAAGACCAAGTTGCTGCTCTACATATAGTCTCCAGGGACAACTTTGCGTGTGCTGCCCAGGATGCCTCCAGTGACATTGCAGAATGAGCCCTTACCAGAGCCGGAAGATCATGTCTGCTTGCCCTATATGCTCTCATGAAGCCAGAGTCCTTGTACCCTACAAACAGGGTCTCTGATGACCAGGAGGGCGCTGTTGCTGCAAGGTAGGTTCTCACGGTCCTAGCCACATCTAGTTCCTGTAAATCTTGAGAAGACGACTTTCCTGGAAAAACTGGCAGAACCCATTCCTGAGAGAGGTGGAAAACTGAAGCTACCTTATGCACAAAATGAGGTAGTCTGCTTAGTTGTACTCTGTCAGAAAAGAAGGATGCATAAGAATGTTCACACCCCAGTGCTTGTAACTCCAAAATCCTTCTACCAGAGATTAATGGTGTGCCGGAGTGCTCCTTTATTCAGTGACAGGTGCGGGTCCCTTTAACTCAATTTCCCACAATCCTCTGGGCTACCACAGTTCTCTGGACTCCCAGCATCCCCTGAGCTCCTGGACACGCTCAGGGGATATAAATTCTAGCTCTTCCTACGTTCCGGTGTTCAGAGAGACCCTGCCTGATAGGACAGCAGTGACTGGTCACGTGAGCCATCACCAGGCGCTGGGTCCTCCCCTGTTAAGTCTGGTGTGTGGTGACCACAAGCAGTGAGCAAACAGCACGCAGTCTCTGTCTAAGCCCCAGTTACTGGAGAGGACTTGAAGTGGGGTGGCCCTACCTTCAGCCACCAAAACCTCCCGACCAAAGGCATCAGCAGCAGTGATAGTGTGAAGCCTGTTCCAGCAGCTGCGCCACTTAGCTAACAGTCTGACTTCAGGAGGAAGCCTGCTGAACCGTTTGTTTCTAACGAAGATTCATAAGAGACTATAAGGGAAATTTATCAGAACTGGAGCAGATTTGCACTGCAACCAATCAGCTTCTCTGTCTCATTTTCGAAACTTACCTGAGCAAACTGAAGAGAGATGCTGATTGGTTGCCATGTACAACTGCTCCAGATTCTGTTTGCTCCAGTTTTGATAAATTCCCCCCTATTTCTTTTTTCTCATAAGCTGTATTGAACTCAGAAACTCTGCTGCCATCTAGTGGCCATGTGAAGAACTGCTCTATATTTTCATATGTTCCTCTAAGCCTGTTTTCTTTACTGCTTTTATGTATGTTATGTACTGCACTCCCCTTGCTCATTTAATTTTCCCTGTGCAATTTATGTTAATTACCATTTGTTTAGTAAAGTAGAAACTGCACATAACCACTGGTCTGATCATTTGGCTGATACCGTTACAAAACATTGCTATCAGAAAAACAGCTTTATTGGTGATGTCCCAGAGGAAACAGCTTCAGTAGGTGCGAAAGGCTCCTTTGATAACATATTTAGAACTAGCGACAGATCC